AAAAAAAAAAAAAAAAAAAAAAGAATTATTATTTCAGTAGAAACACCTACACATATTTTTAGAAGTTAATTATCACAAAGTAAATGCCATTATTAAAATCTTCTTTCTTTCTTTCTTTTTTTTTTTTTGGTCGGTTGTGAGACTTGAACTGTGGACCTCAGTGCTGTCCCTTAGCTCTTCAGCTCAAGGCTAGCGCTCTACCTCTTGAGCCACAGCGCCACTTCCAGCCTTTTCTGTTTATGTGCTGAGGAATCAAACCAAGGGCCTCTTGCAAGTGAGGCAAACACTCTACCACTGAGCCATCTTCCCAGCTCTGAATGATGGCTCTTGAAAGCTGGGCTCCAGGGATTCATGATTGTAATCTTAGTTACTCAGAAGGCTGAGATCTGAGGATTGTGGTTTAAAGCCAGACCAGGCAAGAAACTCCATGAGACTTTTATCTCCAGTTAGTGAGCAAAGAGCCAGAAGTGGAACTGTGGCTAAAGTGGTAGAGTGCTAGCCTTGAGCAAGTAAGTTGAGGGACACTGCCCAGCAGTCCAATACCCTTACTGGCACCAAAAAAAAAAGTATAACTCTGTTTTCTTCCTTGCCTACTTATTTTCATAAAATAAACAGCATTGTATTCATGAACTGCTCTGTTGAATGGCAACTCCTTTGTATAATTATCTAAAGAAAGTAAAATCTATTCTAAAACATAAATAGTAAAAATGTAAGTGGTTTAGCAAGTGAGATTCAAAACATCCACAAAACATTTTCTTATTCTTTCACAGTACCTGAAGCCACCAGAGAACCAAAACTAAAGAAGCATAAGAATGATTAGTAAGTTTCCTTTAAAAATATCCTAAAGTCAGTTTCCATCAAGTGAGTACCCTGTAGAATAGCCAGGCCCTTCCCCACTAGCCATGCAATACCAGACCCTTGCTTTCAGTACTCACCTTCAGTTGCAGCACAGGCTGCTCCCCAACCTTTGTGCAGAACAGGCAATAATTTGGCTCCTTCAGCCCCAGGTACACAGGATTCCCCCTGTCCCTCTTAAGAGTATCAGGATACTTGCATGGGAGTAAGGTAACAATGACTGGAAATACAGTGCAGAAAGTGGCCTTCAGTTAATTTGACCAGGTAGCATCTCTGATCAGACTTAAGGCAACAGAGATTGGACCAATGTTTATGGAAGGGTCAGTTTGCCACTCACTATGTAGCCCAGACTCTTTCCATTAGAAAAATCATTCTCTTATAGATTCAAAAACTAATTTTAGCCGGGTGCCGGTGGCTCATGCCTATAATCCTAGCTACTCAGGAGGCTGAGATCTGAGGATCACATTTCAAAGCCAGCCCAGTTAGGAAAGTGCATGAGACTCTTATCTCCAATAAACTACTAGAAAATCAAAAGTGGTGCTGTGGCTCAAGCAGTACAGCACTCACCTTGAGCTGAATAGCTGAGGGATAGCACCTAAGTCAAGAGTTCAAGCCCCACAACCGACAAAAAAACCACTAATTTTACCATAGATTTCATACATTTGCCTGACTCCTTTTCAGATTTATCATTGGCTAACCCTTCTGTCTCCATGGAGTTCACATATCTTCCCTGGTTTATTCCATTAATCACAGACAACTCTAAGACCATTATCACCCATATGATGTTCTTCCATTCAAATAGAGCCAGTAAACACACCTACTGTGAAGTGAAAGGCTGAGAAAGAACACACAACAGCACTGGACAAAGTGGCTGCCTCCCTTGGACCTTGGCCACTCACCTGGAACTGTATGTTCTTTCCTCGGGACTGCTATGAGAGTCTGGTCCTGAAGGGTCCACACATGATTACTAAGATCTTGAATGTACCTCTGCAAAGGTACTGGCATGGATAAAGCTGTAGAGAAAGTAAAAATGCAACCATGTAAGAACAAGGGTACAGAATAGTCCCTTTTCCCAATTATTCGTTCTCCCATAGCATCCTTACTTTTAGCCATTATGTCAGTGGTGTTTCAACTGCCAAACAATGAGGTTGTTTATGTGTAGACTGGCCTCAGAAGAAATAAGAAATAAGTCAGGCCCAAACTAACACAGCTTGATCCGGGTTCAGATTTAGTGAACTCTGTTGGTAATTATCAAACAGCTAGGTCCTATATCCTCAGATTTCACAGGGCTCCCTCACCTTCTTGGATCAGCCTTTTGTCCAGAGAAACAGTAGCACCTGTGACTCCTGTGAAGGGCAAGAACTAGAGCTCTAAAAGGATAGAGAGTACAATGCCCCATGCCTTTTATTAATGATGAGAAGGAAGTAAGTTCTGCTTGGTTGAAGCCAGAACTGCCTGTATCCTGGTCACTTGCTGGTTCCTTATATCAGAAGACTCACTGAGGGTTTATTTGAATAAATGTCAATTCAGCTTGGTTGTGACTTATCCAAGCACCTTGAAACAGGAGGGCATGGTAACCCTTTAATAGAAACAATGAGGAAATGGAGTCACAAATAGTGACTGAGGAGGGAAGCATTATGGGACTTCCCCAGGGTGGATGACTGGACTCTAATGATGTAAAATGACACACTGGAATGTTGTCTCTAACAGTGAGATCCCCTAGCAGGTACAAGGTTGAACCAGGAGGGAACCAGTCTCCTAAGACCTAGATAAATTCTAACCACTCCTATGTAGCCTGCAGTTACCACATCCTCTGTCAATCTCAGATCAGGAAAAGTCACGCTGGGCATGCTTCTCAGAGCCAGCACAAATGTCACAAATGTTGCTTCTTTACCAAAAGAGCCTTACACAGAGCAAGGCAACTCTTAGATACCTTGTTCCCCACAGTTAACGTAAGTCATTACCCTACTATAGTGGGAGGAAGCTTTGGCCTCCACATGCCTCAGTGCCTGTCATTAGGTCTTCCACTGAAGGGAACAGAGATAATGCTTTTGATGCCAACCTTCAGCCCAGACTCTGAACCAGATCCGAGCCTGTGAGCTTTACACCTCCAGGGTTTGTATCTCAGGGATATCTATTTCCTACAGATACTGGTAGATAAATATCCCAGCCAACATGTCTTTTGGTAGAATAATACTAAGCCTTCTCAGAGGGCTGCTAGTGGGCTCAAACCTACTAGAGGCCTATGTGGTAGTAGCTTTGTCTCTACTTGACTTTTATGGGGTCATCTTCTGAATGAACTCTCTTTCCTTGGCATCTATCTTAGGGACAACCAAAACTAAGATCAGAGACCAGTGTTCAAAAGTTTTGCAACATTCATAAATATGTACATCCTTAATATTCAATGTGTGGTCTACAGATGATGTGTTGGAATTATCTGACAGCTTGGCAGAATTGAAGAATCTCAAATCCTACCCTAGATTTATAGAATCAAGATCTGAAACCTAGGGGGCATTAAAACAGCTCTATTCTCCATGTTTGTGGCACACACCCATGTTCAGTAATGTACTTACACCAACAAAAAAAGAAAGAGGTCATGGCTTAGGCTGAGCCTGGTACTTGGAAGTGAGTCATGAAGGTATTAGAATAAAGAAAGAACAATAAACAACCTCATCAGACCAGATAAAATTTAATAGAAAGTTGAAGAGAGATGCCGTGGTGACCTGAGGAAAATCAGAAGACACAAGGAATGTGTTAGGGGCAAGGGTAGAGAGGTTGTATGTAGCTGGAGAATTGCAAGGAATTTTGGAACATGCCTTGAGAGTTTGTGGACGTGCTTTGAGAGTTCATGATAATGGCCTGAAAGGGCCTGGTTCCTGGAGCCAGGTTTAGCCTGCATGCGAAACAGGTACAAGACACCTGAGGGGTGGAGGTAGTAAGTGGGATTTCACAGTTACACTACCAGTGTGGGTTAGTGCATAGGCTAGGGAATTTCAACAAAGTCCCCTGAGGTGGGAGTGGGGGATAGTGAGTGGGACATGCCAGGGAAGCATCATTGAATTACTAAATCAGAGCAGATTTCCAAACTAACTATGAAAACCCATTTCAAGGGGCTGGGAAGGTGGCTCAGGGGTAGAGCGCTTGCTTTGCATGCATGAGGCCCTGGGTTCGATTCCTCAGCACCACATAAGCAAAAAGAAAAAAGCTGGAAGTAGTGCTGTGGCTCAAGTGGTAGAGTGCTAGCCTTGAGCTGAAGAGCTGAGGGACAGCGCCCAGGTCCTGAGTTCAGGTCCCACACTGGAACCAAAAAAAAAGAAAAGAAAACCCATTTCAAGAAGCTATCTTTTTTTTTAATTTTATTTTATTTTATTTGTGAACATACTGTACAGAGGGGTTACAATTGCATGGGCAGGATAATGCATACATTTCTTACCAAGCATTGCAGTCTCCTCCTTTGTTTACCCTTCCCATCCCTTCCCAGCCTCCCCCCTCCCCCCCATCCCAATCCTTCTCCTTCCCCCCTTCCCCCCCCCCGCACCGACGTTGTAAAGCTCGTTTTGGACATGACAACTTGTACTTCTCATTGTTGCATCAGATCCACCTGTATCCTTAAACAACTGGTTTTTCCCCATCTCCTCCACAAGTTATACTGACATCAAATATAGTGAAAGCAGGGGTTATACTGTGGGGGAGGGACATACAAAGCAACAAAGAGATAATCTTATAAATGCGTTAGAAACACATGCATGAAAGAAAAAACATTAAAATACATATCTAAGGGTTCATTTTCCTGACATCACATTATCTGACCTTTTCCGCTTGACTCATACATATACTAGATATTGCAAATAAGGGAAACCATGGGACCTATGTTTCTTTGGGCCTGGCTTACTTCACTTATATAATTTTTTCCAAGTTTTTCCATTTCCTAACAAATGGGGCAATGTCATTCTTTCTGATGGAGGCATAGAATTCCATTGTGTATATATACCACATTTTTCAAGAAGCTATCTTATACGAAGAGAAGGGAAGGCAGGTGACTGTCCACTGAAATTCCAGCCCTGCCCTGATAGGTGGTGTGTGTCTGTCTACTTCACACCTTAGAAACCATATACATTTGTTTTCTAGTTTTATATCATACAGGGAGATTTCAAAGTGGTGGAAAATTATATAACTAATTTTGCCTCCTGGTATCTCAATGTGTCATCAGATACAGGTAAAGGTTTGTGAAGTTTCTCTTCAAATGTAGAGACTCTTCACTTAGGACCCTTTTCTTCAATCACAGAATAAGAATTTCTGGACAAGTCACAATGGTAAGAAAACTTGGTGGAGTGTTACTATGTGTAAAAATTATATTTTATGATATTTATTATAAAGGAATCACCATTCAACAAATCAGTTTCTAAGTAAATACATCTTGATCAATATCACCCCTTTTACCATTTTCCCCCAACCCTTCCAAACAAGTCCTTCACCTTAATAAAGTCCTTAAACCTAATAAATTGTACTTTCTAGAAGAAGGTGTTTGAATTTATGAGGTATAATCTCTGGGGTTTAGTGACCAACCCAGCTGATTCTGATGTTGATTCGAAGTATGCAATAAGTCAATTTCAGCCTTTACATAATTCTATAATGCCTAGGTAGCCAGAGGTATTCCAGGCTGTCTGTTGATACACTGGAAAACTAAGAGAGCTCTGGCCTTTGACATGAAGTGTCTCAGATTTCTCCAGGACAATTTGTTCAGGAATGATTGCTGCTGATTTCTTGCATCCTATTTCATAATATCCCAGCTTCAACTGAATTTAAAAACCAAAAACCATGAGTGTCATGATTTCTAGTTCTGGTATTAAATACTACCAGAGTCATAACCACTCTATTCACCTTTCTCTCCTGAAAAGGCTCAAAGAACTGATATTATTAATAAAAATTATCAAACTATGAAAAAATGCAAAAGCATCATCCTAGCATATTGCCTACTCTCCTAAGAGTAATCTCATTGTCTGTAAGTACAACTTTGCTTGGATTTACTGCTTGTTGTAAATTTGAAGAAAAAAGAGTATATTATTTTAATTCAATGAAGATGTAAATGACATCTGTTGATAGAAAACACAATATGTAAAATTAATAATCTGTCAACTAGAAGCAGAGCATATACCTCAATTCATGGAGGAAACTAGAAAAGGTAAAACTAGAGACATTGCCTCATGAAAATATAGGATTGGGGTGGGAGAATATTGCTTTTGGTCATAGATATGCACTATTTTGGTTAAAACCTTTGTAAGAGGATCTTGTGGTATTAGTGGAAGGGGGTGAAATCAAAGAAAGTGATGGGCAGAAGAATGAAGAGAGTAATAGTGGAAGAATGCAGTCATTATATTTTATGTATATATATATATATATATATATATGTATGTGTGTGTGTGAAAATGGAACTAGGAAGACTGAAGAGATAAGTGAGGTTGGGAAAAATGGCAAGAGTTATAAAAGTGGTGACATTGATCAAGATGCATTATACTCATAAGCTGACACATTGAATTAAAATCCCTTTGTACAACTACTCAAAGACAGTAATAAAAAGTCTCAGCAACAAAAATTAATGTTTTATTAACACAAGTTACTAAATACAGTCATTGGTTTCATTGGTGCTAGGAAGAAACTGCATCCTCTACAGTCCCTGGGCCCAGTTGTTCATGAGTTACCAGGAACTTTCTTCAGGTCCAGCAGCCATCATACTCTAGCATGGTTTAAATGGTTCTAATCATTCTAAACAGTTTACTCCTGCTGGAATCCAAAGCCCCCTTGCCTGGAATCCTGGTCCCCCTACAACAATCAGTTGCTAAACATCCAAGGGAATCAAGTTGTTCAGTGCATATTAGCTTGGAGCTCCTGCTACTCAAATGTAAGGATCTGTTATATAGAGAGTGAGTATTGCTGTTGCATTGGTTCATCCGATGTGGCCCAGGCCAATGATCTTCCATGGTTTCATAAACCACAAACAAATGCTTCAAAGGATACCCTAACACCACTAATCCCATGTACTTATGAGTTCAGTGGCCATGATGTCATGGCTTCTTTTACTACAAGATGAGATGACAGCAGCTCTGCTCACATCTGAGCACCAATGTGAAAACATCATTGAAATCATACAAATAAAATGAACTTCAAGAACTAAAAAATCTGGCATGAAGTCCTCTGACCAAGATGCCCCCTACAAACTGAGTTCAACCCCTTATATCTAAATTGAAGTTAATATTGTGTTGTTTCCCCAGGTCTGAAGTGAGGAAAATGGGTTGATCTTTCTTGGAGGAGGCAATAAACCATCCTGGAAAGGCCACAGACTCAAAGGTAGAGGTTCTACCTACCATGCTGTGGAAAAAAAGGTAGGGCTTCACTGGTTCAGTTTGGTTATACAAATCTGAAATGTTTCCTTTCTGAAATGTAAAAGATTAAAAGTAGGTTATTTGAGATATTCAGCTATTTGTACAAAACAATAAATATTCCAAAGTTCAGAAAACCTGAGCCATCCATTAAATTAGGACAAGCAAAATATGTTTTAAAGGAAAAGAAGACTGAAGACACAAATATCTCACCTTCCCAATCCCCCTTCCAACCCAGAGGTATCACAGGAAGGGTATCAGGAGCATCTTAGTAAATAAGCAGATATATTTGAACAACAAACTACTACTCTTCTTGCAAAATAAGCTGAAGGAATCCTCAAAGGACTAGAGGAAAATTTGCAGAAATAAGCTTAGGAATTCCCTTACCAAGCCTCACAGTGACAGCTAAAACCATGTAAGAGTAGCTGTTAAGACAAACATGTTGTTGTTGGTGGTGGTGGTGGTAGTGGTGGTGGTGGTGGTGTGTCTGTACACACTGTCTTGGACCAGTTGCTAAAGATATGAGGAAGATCACCACCATAAAAAAGATACAGAAATGTGTAGCAAATTAAAGGACAATCCAAAGAAACCAAGAAAGGAGCAATTAGAAAATACCTTCTCTATTGTATATAGAAATGTATAATGTGCATAGGTGTAACATTGTAAACTTAGGTAAAAATGAGTTTTTCTAAGTAAATTGCATTCATACAAGATCTCAGGATAGACACAAGATACTCTATAATTCAGCCACATTCTACCTTGAGTGGGAGAATTCTTCTGCTATAGAGTTTCCTCACTCAGCTAGTGACTTCCATTTATCTTATTCTTTGGTTAGCTTCAGCCTTAGTCATCCTTAATGCCTCTACCACCTCTTCTTCTATCCCAGTTAAAACTTCTAAATACTCTACCCTTGAAAATTTGATTAGAAAATAATTTCCACATACCATCCTATAGCTTGGGTCCCTAGTACATCACCCATCCCTGCTCCTCCTTCCTGAGGACTGAGAAATGAACACTGTCTATACTCACCAACTTACTGGCATTTCCTAGCCATTCTCTTTGCTCTCAGGTGCTCCCCTGATTTTGCTTTCTGCACTCAATCATTTTTATCAGAGTATTTGCTTTAACTTCTATCATCTTAATAATCATGTTCATTTAGTGAAGGGGAGGTATTCTGAGAAAAATATCACTTAGCAATGTCATCACTGTGTCAACAATGTGCCATGTGCTTACACAGACAAAGACAGCCTCATCATTAGGAAGTTGTGTACAGTGCTAAAGCATTGTTATGTGGCACATTACTGTATTTTGTTGACCTACCATCAATACCGATGCCCCTGCAGAAAGCTCCTTGAAATGGTTGCCAATATTTGCTATCTATGATTTTTTTCTCACAATTTCTTTCTTAAACTTACTCCATCTGGCTTCAATCTCTAATACTGCACCACTGTACCAACACTCCTCACCAAGGCCCCTAATGACCCACACATTGTCATATGCAATGGTCAACCCTAAGTCTTCATCTGAGGACAAAAGTACAACGAGTAAGTTTTCAGCAGGATAGAACTGAAAATGTACTTCATCTGACTGAGAATGGCATTCATACTGTCAGCAAATCTTATTATCTTCATTGAAAAGAGTTGTAGTCTGACTCCTGTGGACTTTCACCTTTGCCTCCCTCCCCCAAGTCTGTGTTCAACCTGGAACAAGAATAATCCTTTTAGCACTAAGTCCATTCATGTCATTCTTCTGTTGAAATTATTCTGGGTTTGTCATTTTCACTTAGATCATAAGGCTCAGTCCTTATAGAAGATGAAAAGGCTCTTTCCAAACTACTTTTCACTCTCTGAATTTCTCCTTCTACTTCTATATACTTGTTTACTCTAGCCTTTGCACTTGCCTTCACTTGGACACCCTGCTGACTAACTTTCCTACCTCCTTCTACTCTGCTAAAATTTCACTTCAGTGACATGTGCTGCACCATTTGTCACTGTAACTTGACTCCACTTGTATTTCTGGGACTCTGAGTCCTTGTTCTGTTCTGATTTGTTTTGTTGTATTATGTTTTTTGGGTTATTTTTAGAAGGAATAATGCCCTTTAATGTATCACAAATCTACCTATTATTATATTTATTATTTCCTATGTCTATCCTTCCCTAGAATCTAAGGCCAGGGCTCTTTACCATTCTATGTAGAGTTATGTCTCAAGTCCCAGTTCAATGTTGGAAGCAAGTTAAGTACTCACACATTTTCAAATTGAATTGGATCTAGTTGAATTAAATGAATCAAAATAAACTTTATGGAATAAATATATATTATACACATATCTATATGTGTGTATTTTATGTCTAAACATATATGCATATGTTTGTGTATGAAGATATAGACATATCTATATAAAACAAACAGGAGGGCTTAGGAATTGGAATTATAAAGGTTGATATTTCAGAATATGCTATAGAATGACAATGTAGCAAATAAGACTAAAATGTAGTAATGAACTGAGAGATTGTACCAAGAAATTCTCCTACAGCATAGCACAAATGAACAAATCAATAGTGAAATGACAGAAAGTATAAAACTAGGTGAGATGTTATGAAACATGAAGTGAAATCTAACATTCCAAAGACTTTTGAATAGGAATTCCAAAAGGTGAGATAAAGCAGAATTGTTTTTCTTCGAAAAACAATCCAGGGAGCATCTTGAAATGAGAAAAGGGCAGAAGTCCTCCTCTAGTGAGAGGCAGGGTAAACTAACATCTATCTCATGTACATGACACAAAAGGAAATTATGAATAAATACAATTAGGAAAATAAGAATATTTCTCTTTCCATTTTAAAATGCGATCTCCTACCAAATAAAGTTTGTGTCAAGAAAAACTGGCTTTTTAAACAGTTTTGTTCTTAGGAACTGACCTTTAACTGCAGTGTGGGCTGTCTTCCAGCAGACTCACAACACAGGCACATAGCTGGATTCTTGATTCCTAAATAAATGGGAGTCCCTTTGTTTTTCTCAAGGGACTCTGGATATTTGCATGGGATGACAGTAACTATTACTGTAAAAATAAAAGAAGAGGGTGTCATTTCCCTTTTGAATCAGAAAAACGGAATCATCCTATCTGTAAGGTTTTAGGCAAGAAAAGAACGCACAGGAGGAGGTAAAAGTGAAGAAAGAAAGTTTATTGGATTACACTCCCAGGCGAACTCCCTGGTCAGGTTGCCCAAAGTCTGGTTGTAGCAGGGTTTATATGGCCGGGATCAGCAGGAACTTTTAGCATGTAACTTGTTTTGCAAGCCTGTCACTATCAATTCTACCTGACTTAGCAGGGCAGTATTTTTTTTAATTTTAATTTTAATTTTTTGTGAACACACTTTACAGAGGGGTTACAATTACATGGGCAAGATAATGAGCACATTTCTTATCAAGCATTACAGCCTCCTCCTTTGTTATTGGCTTCTAAGTGAGACTCATCAAATGCCCAACTACCATATCCATCCATTTTCTGATCCATCCATCCCGTATAACAAAGACTGCCCTACTAAGTAGAACACAGAGTTAAATAGATGCCCCATCCCCTTTATCCTTAAGATTTTAACACCTAGTGTAAGCACCTGGAGACAGAGAAGTTTCTATCTCAACAGCTCCTTTGATCTTTGGAGAGTTCTATTAGCATGTTCTGCCTAATGTAATATGGAAATTCCTTTCCTGTGGTATTCGCTTATCTGCAACCTTGAGGTCATGAAGAACACATTATTCCTCTTCTACAGGAAAAATTGGCAGCCTTGGATAAATAAAAGTATCTCCATTATTCCACAAAACACTCCACCATATCTGAATTCTTTTGTCTCATCTGAGGAAAACCACTCACTTTATTACTTTTTCAAAAAAGAGTGAATATTCCCCCTTTCAGGTAGTCACCACTTTTTATGACATGTAATTACTGTACTTATTTATGGATTATAATGAGATGATTTGAGGCATGTGTACATACTATGTGATATTAATAAAATCCAGGTAATTAGAATATCCACTATGTCATATACTCCACTTATTTGTGGGGAAAACATCCAAATATCTCATTTCTTGTCATTTTGGAACATACATTACTGTTTACTCCAGTCACCCTACTAAACAACAGACCATTGGCACTGATGTTTTTACAAAAGGCCATGCCAATGTGAGAGCCAAGCAGCCATACGAAAACCACTCACCTGAATTCACATCTTTACTCCGTGGGGCTACCACCAAGTTCTCACCCTGAAGGATCCACACCTGATGATCTAAATCAGAGACCTTCACAGGCTGAACATTATGGGAGGCTGCTGTTTAGATGGAAATAAGCAAAAGATGCATGAAGATCAAAATTACTTGCCTCGACACTAGGAGAAAAATCATCCAATCCAGTAAGGTAGATCAGGGACCTAAAAACTAGCAGCCCTCTTGTGACTTATAAACCCAAGCTTTCTTTCCAGGGAAGATTCATGGATTCCCACAAGGAGATCAAAGGCTACCAAGGGTAATAACTACTGTAAGAGGATAAAGCACCAAGACAGATGTAACAAGCATTCCAACAGCATATCTGTGTCAAGGCCCAATTGCTCTCTTTGGAGCAAGTTTGTTTAGCTTAATTCTAGGGCCTGAAGCTAGAGCAATGCATGTGCAATGGTCCTTACCCTCTACATGTTCAAGGCCCATTCGCAGGTGAAAAGCATCAGGGGGTAATATGGGCCATTCATAGAGAAGACTAAAGAATGCTGAAGTGTCCAAAGGACATAGCTGTGAGTAGAGTACGAATAGCTCAGCCCTCCAAAACCCCATCTAAATATTACCTCCTATGTCACCCATGTGAGATTGTATCAGCACCTGGAGAGACAATAATGAAAGAGATGAAATATTTCTTAGACCTTCCCAGGATCCTGGTCCCTCAGGCTCTCATTCTAGACTAGAAGCTAGGATGCTTGGCCTAATATGAGGACCAGAAAGTTTGAATTACCTCTTGGGATAAAATGACAAGGGAGGGGAGAACATGCAGAATTTTCCTCTATCCAGAAATTTTCTCCCTAAAGTTTTCCTCCACCAACATTATCCCTCTATAAGTGCCAAGGCCAAGTGTGACATTTGATTGTAAAACCTCCACAGGACCCTAGATTCCTTAGTTTCCTCCTCCCAATGACCCCTCCCCTCTACCGACATCTGTTTCTGCCCTAGTGGTAAGGAAAAGGTCTATACGAAGCAGCTCGGTCAGAATCCCAGAAACTCCTCAGTGAGAGACATCAAATCCCACTCAGACCAAGACCCACAGCCCCCCTGGCATGGCTCTATCCTTTCACTGAGCTTCAAAGTACAGAAGGCTCCAAAGTCAGAGGGTTTTCCAACTATGGTCTATACCTGACAAGGCAGTCCAAGGCACTGGATCACAGCTCCAGCAGCTTCTATGAGGAGTGATTGGCTCTAATGGACTGAGCATTTATCTGGATGAGCAAGAAGGGAGGCACCGGCTTCTTCCGTGGCATATGACAAAACATTAAAGAAATCCAGTTTCTCCTTTCAGAAGGTCCCAGGAAGCTTAGATGAAGCAATCTCAAAGTCGCACAAGTATGACTTGTCTGGGCTCTTTGACACAAATGCTGAGCAAAGCCCAAATCAGCTACAAGGAAATGAGTTGATGACAGACCTTAGGTTTCTCACAAAGGGAAAACGAAGGGACTTCCCCAACATTCAGCTCTCTTGACATGTCACTCTAGAGTTAGGAATGGAAATGCCAGGCAGCTTCATGACTGAGACTCTAATGGCAATCTGACCCTTTATAGTCAGGTTAAAGGGATCCAAACAGTCTCGTTGCTCAGTCTTTAATAATTTCTATCCTTATTTCCTTTCTGGCCTGAGAGGAACATGGTCCTATCTGGTTGAGGTCCCAATCCTATTATTTGTACACTTCTGTTCAAACTCAAGCTTAGTGAATTCCTTTTGCCCAGCTGATGATCCCCTCTATTATCTATCTGTTGACATATGTCCTTTCTTTGTATGCTCACCAAAAAATAACAGTATCTACAACACCCTGCCATTTGGCGTCTAAATCTCTCTGGTCTTATTTAAGTGGATCCTGTCTAGAAAACATAACTCATGGTAGGAATTGCAAACAAAGAGAACTAAATATAAGGACTTTATATACTTACATTGAAAGAATAAGGAATAAAAAGGAAGCTGGGCATTAGTGGCTTACACCTGTATTCTTAGCTACTCAGGAGACAGATCTGAGGATTGAGGTTCAAATGAGAAAGGCAGACTAATTAGAAAGACTCTTCAATTAACCAGTAAAACCAGACTGGAGGCATGGCTAAAGATGTAGAGCACTCACTGTGAGAAAAAAAAAGGCTGAGCAAGAATTCAAGGACCTGAATTGAAGCCTCAATGCTGGCAAAAAAGAGAAAAGAAACAGTTATTTATTTTTGTGGTATCCTAAATAATTAACAACTATGGGGGAAAACAAAAGGGAAGAACCTGGGAGTTCAACTGAAAGATTTTAGGACTGATCTCAGGAAAGGGGTATCTTTGACCAAACTGTTGTTCAGATCCCAAAAAAGAGTGTGAAGTCTGGTGGATGCATGAGGCACAAAGGTGGAGAAGAGGTATCAACTAGCAGATGTTCAGAGGGTCCATGTGACTCAACCTGGAGAATTGGATTTTCCTTGATCGAAAAGCCTCTAAGTATGCCCAAATGAAAACTGCAAAACCTTCATAGTCTGGTGATATGTACTCTGCCCCCACAGCTTCAGCTTCTTATTCCAACTTGGTCCTGACCCTTCAATACCTTCATAATATAAAGACACTCCAGCCCTCCTCCAAATACCCAGCACCAGAATTCATTGTAAAATCCCTAGTTTAAACTTTAGTATGAATGAATGGCATTAAATTAAAGGAAATAGAAATAGGCTAGGTACTTTATTAGTAAAAGAAACTCACTTAGCTCACAGTCTTGCAGCTGAAAGTCCAACAGCAGGTGAAACCTGTTGATTCAGCCTCTGGTAAAAGCCTCTTGGTGGACAGAAAAAAAATCATGAGCTGTAGAAAACAATCTCATGGAGAGAAGCCAGAGTGGAAAAGCCAGCTCTTTTATAGCAACACTGTCACAAGAACTAACTTGAATTCCACAAAAGCTATGTTTATGCCTTCATTGGGCATGATATCAAATGATCTAATCACCTCATAAAAGTCCCACCAGTTCCCAGCATATACACACAGATGACCACACTCCCAACACATGTATGTTCTTGGGGGACATACTCAAACCATATCCAAACTATAGCAACAAGGGGTGATGGTAAAAGGGAAGTTGGTTGAACATTGAATGGTACAGAGACCCAATGAAATGGCCTAGAACTTTTATCTTAAGAATGGTGGAGATGGATATTAGGATTGCCTAGTAGTCAGCTTTACTTGGGACAATTTGATGTTAGGTACAAGTGTAAATATCATAGTTTTGCTATGCTAACACAATGTAGTTACCTGATGCTTTTGTTAAAATTATTATGTGGATAAGCAGAATAATACATATGATAATACAAGATCATGCTAAGCGAAATGAACTCCAAGACATGGACACAAGAGGTTTTTCTTCGTTGTTGTTTTTAACATACTATGTGATTTTTTTCTTTTGTGCCCCCCCACCCTCTTGTTTATCTCCTGTTGTTACTGTAATTGATTTTGGTACCCTGGGTATTGTATATCTGTTTATCTGAATTGGGGAAGGGAAGGAGAACAAAATGGTGAAACAAAGGAGAATCAATGTAATGGTGATACTCACAAGACAATACGTTAGAAATGATCTGTACAAACTGAGGGGGGGGGAGAGAAGGAGAGGGAAAGTGGGAGAAAAATGAGGGAGGGGTAACAAGTTCAACAAGCAATGTTCTCACTACCTTACTTACGTAATTATAACCCCTCTAATTAATTTTATTTTATTTTATTTATTTATTTTTGGTCCAGTCATGGGGCTTGAACTGTGGGCCTGGGCGCTGTCCCTTAGCTCTTCAGCTCAAGGCTAGCACTCTACCACTTGAGCCACAGCACCACTTCCGGTTTTTTTCTTTTTGCTTCTGTGGTGCTGAGGAATCGAACCCAGGGCCTCAGGCATGCAAGGCAAGCGCTCTACCACTGAGCCACCTTCCCAGCCCCTCTAATTAATCTTAACAATAAAAATATATATAGAAAAAATTTAAATTATCATGTGGAACAATGTCATTGTTATACATCAAATGTGGCTTAACTTGAATTCTAGTAAGTCCTTATAAGGCAAATTTTCTTAGATCCTTCAGTCCAAGTTCTCAATTTCAAGCTCTAAGATGCTATCATCAACATTTTTAAATTTTTGGTAATTAAGCTTACTAATTTACTCACATCTTATATTAATTACCATATTAAAGTTTACAGATCATCCTTTATATGCTATTTTGGTCGTTACAACTTAATACTAGTGATTTTGAATAAGAAATATTGGTGTTTTCTTTTTTAACCAGTTTTTGATTGCTGTTTCCTATATTTTTTAAATGGATCAAAAATGTAAATCTGTTGGTAGAGATTAAGTATTTATTGCTACATCTTAGTAGATAAACTGTAAATCTTACCTCAAAATGTTGACATGCCATCAAAGGGAATCAAGTGTGCTCGAGCTTGATCATTCACTGCCAAGAGAATCTCTAAAATCTGTGTATAGACGCCTAGTCTATAACTCCTTATTCACAGAACCAGAATGACTCTCTAAACCAATAAAACAGAGGGGACTGTGAAGCAATAAATGTTATATGACACCCCTTCCCCAACAGACACCCAATAGCCAGCTACACAGAATCAAATACAGAGAGAACCAGACTTAGAATCTATAACTACCATTTAAAATCCAGGCTCTTTTCTGGGGTGCTCACAAAATTCACTTGGATATCCAGAGTGGATCAAATCCACTGTTGTTTGCTTGCTGTCAAGAGCTACCTAGAACCATGGCTGGCAGACTGCTCTGGAAATGCTACTGGAAAGGCACTGGCATTTATCTCTGCAGTACTGACAGGAAAACATGATATGTACCAGAACCACAGAGTCCATTTACACTCTATTAGACTAGAAAGGTCAATAACATCCCTGGGGCAGGCTCTGTGTAGTCTTTGCCCAATATGGATGAAATAATGTGGTTAGACAAGCTCAAAGACCTCTGTTTCTCATCTCCAAATAGCTAAACCTGTGGTCTAATCATAGCCTGTGCTTCCTTGTGGGCTGACCCATCACATCCTCTTTAACATCTTCTATCTGCTTCACATTATCAAAAATAACC